CGAATGTTTACAAGTGTGGAGTCCTGTGAAGGAGCTCCAGATGGAGACTGTTGTTTTGTGTTTACCTTATGATTAATGTTATTGCACGTCCACCAGTTCCAGCCTCAAAATGAGTAAGTTTAAGAAACTTGTACATTAAGGTAGCGCTCAGAAAAAAACAATGTGAGCAAAGAAACTCGACACAGAGGAACATAAACATCTCACTGCCAGCTAGCATTTAGGAAGTGTTATTGCAGAGCAACAGAAAGTGCGCAGAACGATAAATGCATGGTAACACGCATTGCATGTTCAGCAGGTTACGTCGATCACTTGACGCAGAAGTATAAACCAGGCTTTAGGACTCACAGACTGCAGGTTAAGCGACCGGTAGTACAAAATACTGTTTTATTGACACTTGTTTTTTTTACTATCTTACGTGTTTTAATGTTTAATATTGTTTTTAATACTGTAAAGCACTTTGGGCAACCTCCTCCATGTAATAAGGTGCTATGTTAATAAAGTTTGATTGTTTGACTGATTAAACATCATGTGACTGAAGGCCACTGTTAAGCCTGTGAAGGTCGTCTGTTAATAATTTGTCTCTAAATTTCAAACATATGACTTTGAAACTTTCATATGACACTATAAAACTAAGGGCAACACTTTACAATAAGGTTGTAATAATTTATGTTAGATAATTAATTTTTCTAACATGAACTAACAATGAACAATACAATTATCACACATCTATTAACATTAGGTAACGAAAATACAGTTGTTCATTGGTAGTACGTCAACACACTTTTTAAAATAATGAATTAAAAATAAAGAAATTTGCCCTTTGATCCACTCTGTGGTCTGTCTTTTCCCCCTCAGTGACGGAGAGCGAGACACAGGTTTCCCTAAGGAGAACAAGCTCTATCAGAAGCCCAGAAAGAGTCTGTTGCCATGGGGATGGTGCCAACAGCCTGGAATGAGGCTGTGGCAAACAAAACCATTCTACCAGACTAATATAACCAATCAGAGGCCCTGACAGGAGTCGGTAGATAGGGGGCTGGTAGGTGACACTGTCCCTCTGAAGACGCATTCAAACAGTGACCTCCTCACCCGTGACACGGTGACTAATCGTATAATGAGTGACATTGTTATTATCAGTGGGTCAACATCCCTTTCTAACGAATTAAACAGTAACCTGGGTTTAACACACCTGAAGGAATGAATGTGTCTGTATACTGTCTTATCTAAGAAGAGGATTTTAGTGTTATAGTTGAGAATAAAAATACTTTTGTTCATAAGAGGAGGCTTTGATTCCAGACTGATGGTCTGTGAAGGAATCTGAATTGTTCACAATGTGATTTCCTGATATAAAAATTGACAAATACATAAGGGTGATCAGATTTCTCTAAGTGGATCCAGAACAGGCAGTCAGGATGGATATATTATTTATAAAATATATTCTGCAAAAGTTCCTTTCCATTTCTCCTTCTCGCTAGAGTTTTGAATACTGAACAGCTTTCCTCTGGTAAAGATATGGTTATGTGACACAGCCGAGTTTATGACATAACCAAAGTTAGTCTGTGCTTAAGACTCAGCAATTCTTTAAAAGAGTACATTTAGTAAATTGGATTGGGTCCTTATAATGGTTCTTGCTTTTTTTTTATTTTTGGTTTCTAGAAGCATTTTTTTTTTCTCAATCATGCCCAGTAAACTTTTTTTAGTGTCCAACTTCACCTTTATGCTCTCCATTACTGACATTGGAATTAGATGTCATAGCTCCCGCCTTAAACAGCTGCTTGTTCAATATGAAATGTGATTGCATGGTAATATTGCTCTTGACTTCCTACCATTAATTATGGTTATCCATGATTCCTGTGTGACAAGATGACAATTATAGCACGCAGCAATTAACATATTTTTTTATATAAAGAAAAACAAGACACAAAACATGAACGGTAACAAGGACACTAATACAGAACCGATGTTTTGGGAAAATAGAACACCCGGTCACTCTACAAATACATATAAACGGTTAATTCATTGATTCAAACAAAACAGGAAAAAAAAAAAAAAAACACTAATTTTAACTTGAACATTATATTGTCAAAAAATGCTGGGTTAATTCAACCCAAATACCCAAGGTTAAAAATCTTCCAAATTTGGGTAAAAACAAACCAGCCAAATTTTTATCATTCAAAAGTCTGAGGTCAATTTGCATGTTTTTGAAAGAAGCATCTTATTCTCTTCCAGGACACTCTTATTTGATCAAAAATACAGAAAAAAAAAAAAAAAACTTCAAAATTAAAGCTTACATTAACTGCTGTATATTCACATAGATCCTAACTTGATTACAGAATGGCATACGTTTAGCAGCAGTTCTTTAAAATCAATGTTAAAAGCAAATGACTTGGCCCTTATGTAAATATTTATTTGCAATACTGTACTATTATTGAAAAAAAGATTTAAGAAAAGTTGGAATAAATTTTATATATTTTTTATTTTGTTTAAATAGGCTAAAACCATTTGCTGCCAATTCATCAAATTTATTAATAAAAAATACAATAAATAAAATAAAAATAAACAAAATCTGACACCAAACCTTTGAATCGTGTACTGTAAATTGAATAACAAAAGCAATTTGGTGTACTTTAAACCTCCCATCAAATAAGGTAAAATCTAAATGAATTCATCATGAAGTTGATATAAAATATACCGAAACCGGTCTACTCTTGTAAAAAATAAAAAATCTCCAATAATCATTTAACTTCAAAAATCACATTGTAGTGTATTCATAAAGTAGTACAAATAATTATATCAGCCATTAAATCAAAAATAAGCATACTCCATACAACAAAAGCTATTTCAAGGTAAAGTTACAGACCAAGAGTAATTTGTACAGCACACATAAAATAGCATGTCATTTGGCTCTGAGTCTTTCTGGCACATATGTAAGATTGTCCATGGTCTAAAAAAAAGTTTGAGATCCACTGCTTATCCAGTACTTGTTTTTCCTCAGTATTGGATTAAACGGGTACATTTAAAGAGTTCTGACATTGAGTCATTGTGGAACTTTTGACAACTGTAATTACTAGCTTGTCCCACCACCAGCTGACTGGACAGGATGATAGACTCATGAATTGAAAACCGCTCAAATACAGAGTCCTAGTTCACTCAATCTCCTCTCACACTGATCCAGAGAACAGCAGAGCAAACACAAGAATCAACAAGTCTATAATCCCCCCACTTTAGGGCTATGCTAGGTAAGTCTGAGAGGAAGTTTAGCCCCCATTCACAGGAAGCTTTAAGCCACAGGCTTTACCACAAAATATGCATAAGGCTCTGAGCACGACTGGATCTTTGGAGATGAAGTAGTTTAACCACAGCAAAGGAAAAGTGGGCGTGAAGAAAACATCCCGTGAGGCCTCCAGGAGTGTAGAAAAGACCCCCGCGGGGAACATTTCTGCAGCTGAAGCAACCAGTCACGCCCAAAACCTCAACATTCACCCCTTCAACCAACACCAAACAGATCAGAGGCCAACTCATAAAACAAAGAAACACGTCACAGAAAAAAGGTGCTTTATTTCAAAACAAATGTATCCCAAAGGTTGATTTTTTTTTTTTTTTTTACAAAATAATCTATACATTGCAAATACATTTAATCTTTGCTATTTTTTGTTTTGTTACAGTAGCTCTTATGTAAAACACAAGTGAAAATGATGATCTGGAGAAGTGTACGTGTGATTCATCACATTCTAGTGCGTTCCATTGATGGATCTCAGACATCCTATAGAAATGACAGATTTAAACAAACTAATAAACAAAAGATTCTGCCAACATATATACATAACTTTGTTTTCATCCGCATTGTCCAAACCTGTACACAGATATTTTACATTATATAGTTCTTTGAGGTGAACCGTGACTTAATCGTCACACGTCATTTAATGAGAGCAAAACAATGTTATTGTCTGAAAATCTCCAAGACGCAAATCATACAAAATGGCACACAAAACAAGGGACAGTACAAAATGATGCTCTCAGGACTTAACCTGACCATTTTATGCTTCAAAACGACTTGCATACCTCTTTCGAAAATGATACTCGCTTCTTCAAAGCTTCTGCATGCACATGAATGCTTGCAGGGCAAGTCTTTAGTTTAAGGCACTACAATATCATCTCCAATATCTCTGAACTCAACGATATGCATCTGCTAGCTTATTAAATCCAGCCAACACGAAAATGTAATGAGCAATAACGCGTGTTAGGCTATCGTCTTCTGAGTTAAATTATGTGTAAGAATGTGTGAGATCTGAGGCCAGAAATCTGAACACTATTGCACAGGCAATGAGCCGATTCATCAAAACACTGTCAGTTAACACCAGCTGATTGGATTTATATATTACGGACACAGAAAAACGCACGCACTCACACACACACACAGGACAAGCACAGGACTTGTGATTTGTGACAGCTGCTGAATGCAGTCGGAGGTTAACACTGGGCAGTGATAGTCTGACAAGTCAAGCCAGACAGCTACATTAATACGGGACAAGCTTTCATGTTGAACAATGGCAGTAGTTTCTGATGAATGCCAGTCCAACCTTCTAATGCAGATAGATTCACACGGTGGCAAACATTTTTTGATGGCACAAACAAAAGAAATGCAGAGCTAATACAGCAGCACAGTATGCAAATACAAGCCGAATTGATACAATTACAGCCGCCCCATTTTGCCAATCATTCTGTCTGGCTTTCCCCCATTGGGCTTCATCAAATCAGGCATGGTCCTCCCAGTCTCGCTCCTCCCTACAGCACTTCAACTCTGAATGCCAGGAGAGAAAAAAAATAAATGTTGCCATGGAAACCGCCAGGCTGTTGACAGGAGCTAATTTCTGCCTCCATCAGTATGACAGCACCGAAAGTTGATGTGACTCATCAAAACTCACACAAAAACACGTATTGATAGGTTGTCTGAATACAAATTACATTTCTTCAAATGGCTCTTTTCTTTTGTACAACTTTACTTTTTTTTTTTTTTTTTAATTTTTATAAAAATCGCACAGCACGTCTCACTGTGCAAAGAAAACTGGCTATTGATTTGGCAAGACAAACCCAACATGTAAAATCACCCATAAAGTGGTTTACAGCAGAACCACAGCAGATGACTTCACTTTCTAAGAAATGAAAATTAAAATTATACCCACTTTTGGTCCCAAAACATCCTTTAAACCACATAGCTAAGAACAGCAAACAAACAATTAAGCTAATGTACAAAAACAAAGAAACTGGTAGGTATAAACTACTAAAAAAGGTGCGTTTTCTACTAATTCTCTTTACATAACTCTGTTCATCCTTCTTTGATTTTGCAGTCTGAAGCATTTCTTAAGTATCTATGCAGTCTCTTTCTGCTTGTTCTTCTCAGACATACCACTCCCTCCGGGAGATCATTGAGCCATCTGTGTGTGAGACATACTCATTGTCGTAGCAGTCCTCCGGCAGGTAGGGGGAGCCATTGCTCATGACTTGAGGAGCAGGATACCTGCGGGGCTGCGGCTGCAGCGAGCTCCTCTGGATGTGATGGGCTGGACTGTAGCTCTGCGGATGACCAGTGTGATGATTGCTGTGGAAGCCATGCTCATGGTTCTGATGGTTATGGTGATTGAGTTGACCTGCTTCTCTCAGAGCTCTGCTGCGACCGTTGGGTGATCGCTCTCGGTCGAAATCCCCCCATTCTTCCCTATCCTTATCTGGGTAGATGGTGCCGTTATCCTGGTTGGATTTGAGCTTGGTGTCAGGACTTCCCTTGCTGTAGACTTGCTGCAGCTCATGGGGCTGAGGAGCCTTCTGCATGTCTGATGGGCCATGATACTGCTTTGTATAGTAGTCTCCGCGGAAAGTCCGACGTTGACGCTGGTAATAAACCCCAGCCAGAATGAGCAGCAACAGCAGGAAGAGGGCTCCACCCACTGCCCCGCCCACAATTGTGCCTAGGCTCCCCTCGTGCAGAGGCGCCAGGGTTGGAGAGGTGATGAGGGCTCGCTGCTTATTGCCAGGTGCGGTGGCAGAGATGTCAGCAGTTAGGAGGCGCACTGGGGTGGTGGGGGGCATGGTGGTGGTTGAGGGAGGATCTAATGGAGGGAAGGAAGGAGGCAAGGGAGGGGGATTCAGGAGGAAGGGATGGACAGACAAAGAAAAGTAGATAATGTCAATGCCAACTACATCAGTATTTTCATTAACAGTCATATGAATCTGCCAAGATTGTAACATCTTCTAGCATGACATCAAGCATGAATAACAGGACTATCTTCTGTTGCTGTGGACGAGACAGTACCAGGTTTTGAAGGAGATCTTTTATTGAAAGCATCTTCCAAAAGCTTCAAAACATGAAACTGTTTTCCAGAGCAAAGACAACTAATAAAACATGGAAGAGAAAGGAAAGTTGGGACTATTATGATAAGGGGATTTGTGAGAAGCTACATACTAACGTCTCCAGCTAACACCCAAGTACAGTTGTCTGCAACAATGAAACCTAATTAGCAACATTTGTGTTAGCTGAGAGAAGGAGTACGGATGACCAAATAGCTAAGTGATGAGAACAAACGAAATGGAAGGAAGGGGTCGGGGAAAGGGTGCGTGCTACTGGGGGAAGGGAGGGACACCGAGAATACCCGAGACCAGGGTGGCTGCTAAGCCTAACTGCTAACATGGCTGGACTGGTGCTAGGATAGGAGATTGCTTTAACACCATTACCATGCATTGATCGCTTGATTGTGTTAGGGTGCAGCGTGTAGCGTTTCATCGCATTCTGGGCCATGCATCTGGACTATGCAAGCAGCGTTCTCAGAGACAGGGAGCTGAAAGTCAAACTATCCCATTACAGTGTCCTGTTCCCGGTGCAATGAGAGCTATTTCGCTGGCTGTGAATTGTGTGCATGCACTGAGTGCAGAGCGCGAGTTCACTCGCAGGAGTCAGGGCTGCAAGCTTCTCATGGTTATATGGTTCTTATGTTCCAGTAAAAACAGGAAATAATGTGCTCAACCTTTCTTGAATAAATGATAAACATAGCATACACAAAGCATTCTTATACCATATTGTTTCCTTTAAAGTCAAAGTTCATTTGGATGCGACTGTGGGTCTGGTGAGTGAATGTATGTATATGTATGCATGTATAAAAGGGCAAAACAAGGAAACTTCCCTTTCATTGTTTTTGAAATGGGGAAAAAAAGCTTCTGAAATACTTGACACTCCCATGGTATTTCCCAGCCCAAACTTTTATTGTATTGTTTAAAACACTGGAATAGTTTACCCAAAATCAGTTTTCACTAGGGCCTGGGTGGGGCTCCACTGCAATTTAGTGGACATAGGGCCACTCTAAAGGCCCTTTTCTAAACCTGAATGTGATTAGTTATTTGAGTGGAGCAGAGAAAGCGAAATTGAATGTACTTAAACAGCTCTTTTCTATTTTGATACAAAACTCTAAATTAAATCAGTGTACAAATAACTGTTTTGAATATTTAGGTTTTAGTACAATAGTTTTAAATGATTAGTTGAGGACTTTGAATGAGGGGAAACAAGACACTTGGATAATGATTTACATATTTTAGCCAACAATGATTGAAAATAGGTCCTGATCACGCGGTTTCAGAATTGGAATCAGACGTTACCTCCTGATCAGGACTCAAATATATGTATGCAGATGCGGGCAATGCGGTATTGGTTCAGTAATGGATCATAATCGTTATTATGTACTGACGGCATTTTTCTCAGATGCGCTATATTGCGGTAGAATACTATGTTGAGGGAGAAGACCGAATAATAAAACTGCACAATTCACTGCGTGTGTTTGCTGTAGTCATTCACTGACACTAAAGTTACAGCAGAAGCCCCTATTTTACTTGCATGGAGAAAATGACAGTAACCTCAATTTCTCTCTCCCTCACTGTGGCCCCTTCGACCTGCTGGCGTGACGTTTCCTCTCCTCTTGGCTGCACAGTGATACTTGTGGATCGAGACACGAGTGCATTAGTGCAGAGTGAGTTTTCACCATCGCGTCTATCATGGATCAGTCGTGATCACCGCTGCCATTTGTCTGTCACTTATCGGTGACAGCACGTAAGAGCCAAATCACAGCACTTTGTTGAGTGACCAATCACAGGCATTTAACAACTCACTTGACAACGCTCAAAAAGCAAGTGAGAATTTTTACGTTTATTTGCTTTATGTGCTCATGTTGTTCTGTGCTTGTACCTGAGTTTTGTTTAATGCATAAAAAAAAAAAAAAAACATTCTTTAAGCTGGTAAAATTAAAGGTGCAGTTCATAAATCTGACTGCGTCTATTAAAAGGACAATACTATATTACAAATACATATAAAATGCATTTTAAAATTATCCATTTTAATACAAGAACTGTGCTGTGAAGTAAAATATAAATTAGTGTATGGAAAGCAACATCAATGTACTGCGATGAGAGATCAAATTGAACCAAATTGATGGCATGATAATTCGGGACCTAATAATTATAAGGTTCTACCCGACATTGTCAAAATTTAGTTATTTACATTTTTATTTAATGACAACTTATTTTCATTATGGGATTTTTTTTAATAAGTTGTTTACATTAAAACTTTTTAATTTAAAAAGCAAGTGTTACACACATACTGTTTGCTATGGAATGCAAAAACTTTGAAGCTCAATATCTCAAAATCATTCAGAACGCAGACAGAACCATATTTTAAGGTGACGAATTGAAACCAAACTGAACTGTGAGACCAGTGTAGGTTCATATATTGTCATTATTTTTTAACACATTTATACTTATGCGGTGGCACAGAGTTAGACTTCACACAGAAACAGCAACGTATGCAGCATGACATCACTTTGTTGCAGCGACGCTATTGGTTAAATGCCGGCAAAATGCCTGTCGGGTATTTTCAGTCTAAGTGCTATTTGTTTTCATATTCGATTTTTTTTTATATATATTTACTGTTGCACTGAAGTCCAAAAGTGAAGAATTTAATTATAACTCGAGTGTTCAAGCTACCTACTGAAGTGCTCCGTTTGTTAACAGGGTTGTTGAATATTAAAATAAGGTGAAACCTGGCTCTGTTTCTTCTTTATTCTTTTTTATGCATTATAGAAGTTTTAGATCAAGTTTCAGTATCGGTAGATACTCAAAATCAAATGACTCGGACTTGAGGGAAAAAAAGACTGATCAGGACATCCCTATTTATACTGCTCTTAATACTAGTGGATCTAATATTGTACAATTCTTATTTAGTGCATTCCTGGACATGAACCACAGTAATATAGAAAAGACCAGCATGGATATCTTTGAGACACAAAAGTATGCAAGTTTGCAACAAAGTAACAATAAGTAAACACTGTCAGGAATGTAATTTCTCTTTGAACTATGCCCTTAGTCTACAAGGACATGGACAATGTCAATTTGTTTTAATTTATTCCATTTTACCCAGTGAGTTGAAGAATAATTTATTTCAATCAATAAACAGTACAGCGTCTTGCCTCAGCATGTCAATGTACAGATGGGAGAACAGGACATAAAGAGAGGTCATGGAAATCCCTTCCCTTCTCAAACTTCCTTCTTTGTGTGACCATAAATTCCAGATTTATCACAATTCATGTAAAGTATGTGGTGCCCCATGCCTGTCCATACATCTTAAGAATCATTTAAACAGGAGTGTGATTGGTCTGTCTGGCGGGTGTGAGATGGTGTGTATTTGATGGGTGATTGGTGACCACACAGGTAACGGCAGGGTGTTTAACATGCAGGACAGGTACTGTCCACCCGTACTCATGCACAGAGATCAGCAACTAACAGCAGACGCACACACTTTCACACCCACAGCCACTCTGTCAATAAGGAAACAGTAGCAGTAGGCATTCCAGAAGAAACATCACGACTCAAACAAATGACACAAAGAGAGTCTTAGAAGACAAAAGGCAGACAACTTTGATAGAACACACACAATGCAGAAACGCACAGCTTCATGCATGCAGACGCTGAATCTTTCTCAAGGGGAGAGCATTAAAAAAAATGTAAAAAAAAATATACATAATTAATGATGTTGAAAAGCTAGTGAATGTTTCATGAATCTAGGACATCTTTCATTCAAGGTTGCTTCCGCTCTATTCTAGCCTTGTATAACTGCGTGACAGTCTCAAAGATGTAAGTGTGCACAAGGGAGGAAGAAAGAGCAGCAGAGAGAGGAGATAGAGGGAGAGTAAGTGAAAAGAGAGGAAGTAATGAGTGACTAGCACATTAACTAATTAAACAGCAGGATTGAAATGTTTAATGGTCACAAGTATTTTGTAAGACAAACATCATGAAGTCTGACAGCCGATACTCGTCTCATAGGTCAATAAAATAATGTTGGACTCAAACTCCATAATAATGCATCAAAAAGTTTAAAGCTGAGCTTAAAATAGATTTAAATAAAGAGCCAATGCCTCTCAGGCAAATGCTTCAGGTTTAGAAAAATGATTACGAGCTTGTGTCTTATAAAAATGGATCAGATCCATGCGCGCGATGAGATGAGTGGGTTATAGAAAAGAAAACATCAAACATCTGTGAGGCTTGAAGTAATGGTTCACCCAAAAATGAATTTGCTCACTCTCACCTTCCTATAAAAGCATACAGGTTTGAAATTAGCAAATAAAAATTAAATATTCTCAGGGGATTCTTTTCCTTTTACAAGTTCAGGTACAGCATTTTCATTGCTTCATTTAAGAAGTCAAGAGTTCATGCAAGCATACAGACTAAAAAAAAAACCTTCGGTGTATTGATAAAGCTTTAAGTGCTTTAAACAATTGTTTGTCTTACCATTGTTTCTCCAATTACAAACTGGTATACACTGGTAAGATGTCAAATCACTCACCCTGAATGCGTATTCTTATATCTCGACTGTGCAGTCCGATGTCATTTGCCACCTCACACCTGTAAACCCCAGAGTCATTCTTCTGCAGGGGTCTCGTGAACACCAAAGTGTTATTCACCCTCTCTGCTCCATTTGGCATCTCTCCATCTAGCCTAAAACACACAAACAAACCTTTAAATCACAATGTTTTCAATCATCAAGACCTTAGGTTTGTCTAGGCACTGCGGACAAAGCCAGGAGCAGTACAGATTTACAAAATAATTTGAAGGTTTCACTGAAAACCAATTTCTTATGATCTTAAAGACCATTTGATTTAGGGTGCATCCATACCAGAAAAGTCCATTAGTTCAAAGTCCATTAACTTGCATTGGTCTGATCTACCATTTGATTATTATTTTTTTTTTTTAATATTCATTTTGGTGCAGTTCCCTTTCACACCTTTTTTTTTTAACAAGTAAACCAGAAATTGTAAACAAAACTGTAAAAACTGTGCTGAGGTCAGCCATTTATTGCACAGAAATTGTTGCACTCCCATGGCTGCCACTGCTAAACCTATAGCTGTAGCTTTAAGAGCTAATCCGATAACTTCTCTTTTTCTCGCACAATTTTTTCATTTTAAATGTTGACATGCTTAAAACAAAGAATAAGGTTTGTTAGTGTTGTTTTTAATAGGTGGGCTGGGCATAGATTTTATTATTTTTTTATTGTAAAATAATCTCACTGCAATCTTGGAATTAATCTAGATTAAAATGTGTGCTACCCAAATAATGACTAAATACAAGTTTTTGAGGATAGGTTTCTCAAGACAGGTGGTGCATTGGACCAGGGGCTCATCACAGGTTTCCAAAATGCATCACAAACTACTTGAGAAACTGTTCTACTATGATAATTGATGATGAAAATAAATTATGTTCAATAAGATGAACTTGTGTTTACTAACTGCTTATTCAGTTAAAAATGAACTGTAGGCCTACATAAGCTCGAAACAGCGATTTTTGATCACCTTAATCTGACTAAAGTCATAACTGAACTAAACAGAAATGGAATTAAGATGTGGAGTGCATATATTTGTGGCATTATTGAAGTAAACACCGCAATCAAACTATTACCGTCATGTAGGACTTTGCCACATTTTCCAACAAGATCCACACGCGGCTGTCAGTAAAGGATCGCAAGAACACACGCACAGACATCGTGAAATGCGGAAGTTTTTTTTTTTCTATTTGCCGTGTGTTATAAAATTTCATAACACTCACCAGTCCTTACTCCTTATTTGCGTCTAATACCCCAGTTTGTCACGGGGGCATGAATGAAATGTTCATGAGTTAAAGTGAAACTGCCAAACTGCAGTTAAAGTCACCCAGAATTATAGCAAACTCTTACATGAAAGTGGTCAGGTTTATATATACATCGGTCAGGTATACATCCACGCTAAAATATAAAGGTGAAAGTCACCATAGCTTGCGTAGAATAGACCCAGCCCCAACCCAACTTTGAGAATAGATTAACGGCAATTTTTTTTTATCGCGCAACAAGAGGCTCGCGTTAACGGCGATAATGGCCCACCACTAGTTGTTTTATTGGAGACCTCCTGGTGATTGCATAGCAACTGTAGATGCAATGGCTGAAAATCCAAGCTACTAGATCCTTAGAACCCACTTAAAGCCTTGTGCCTTTTGAGTTATAAGAGTGAAGAAACATGTTTGGAGCATTTTCACACGTTAAATAAACCAAACCAAAGTTTATTTGGAAGCAGACAGAGACCACCTCTTTAGCTGATTCTCAGAACATTGTTTGGTGTGTACCATCATGCAATTGCTGTGTTCACACCTGCACAAAAGATTCCCAACAAAGGCGAATGAACCAGATTTTGATTCAATCAAACCAAAACAAAAAGGTAGATATACACCCATAAATTCCATGGTTAAATGCACAGAGACACACTTTTAAATATTTGTCTTTTCTTTTGTGAAGTTAATTAGCTGGTCCAGACATTGACCAGCAAACGAAGACCTCATCCATATCATATAATGTATCATCCGGCCTTTCATCCAAATGCATGTGGTATTTTGGGAGAGTGAAACTGATATATATTTTTTTAAATCAGGTGCCAGAGTGGATAAATCTAAAAATTATGTCATTGTGTCATATCTTGTGAACACACAATCTATATATTTTGTAAAGTGATGATGTCATCAGCTCAAGTCTTGACCCTAATCAGACACCAGTACATAACATAATAGCAACAATAACAACAAATATGTGCTCTGTGGGAGATTGGAGATTACTGTGCCACATACTGGTTGGGCAATGTATACAACACCATTTTAAGTCAGTTTCAGTTTTTACATGTGCACATAGGTCATTTTATGGTGATTAAATAATACTAATAATATTCACAGAGAGAAAGTTCAAGCTTCATGTAGACGTAGGCACAGTGCATTAGTAACCAGCGTATATAAAAACTCCTTTAAGAAGAATAGAAAGGTTTGAAATAAATGTCTATTTGATACCTTGCTCCCATACATGATTGACGTATAATATTCAAATAGATTGAACACTGATGAACATAAATGGATTAGTGGCAGCCATCTAATTCTCTTTAAACATACATAATGTTCAGATCTCCATTTATCTAACCAATTCATCTGCATTGAAATCTGATCAAATCAGCTTTTGGTGTTGTGAATCAGAGATGACCTCCTGTCTGAGAGGAGTTAATGAAACATGCTATAACATCCTTGAACCCATTCCAGACATTTTGTGCTGTGGCTATTGTAGTGAGTATAGTGGTTACACACCTGATCCATCTGAAGTGCTGGGCAGGCGGGTTGGCCTTGGCTCGACACTTCAGTTGCACATTCTCCCTGCCCACATACCAGTCTCCGTCATAGCCCAGCACCAGGATGTCTGGAGCAACTGTGCGCACACACACATAACACAAAGACATCATTCAGAGTAGTGTAAAAAATGTAAGGTAATGCTGTGCCTAGTTAAAGATCCTAATTAAGTGACAGGGTGCAGTTTTCTGGACTCTTTTATTTGTATTAAAACAGTAAGTTGACCGTTCTGTACAGAACACACAAAGAAAAGATGGCAGAGAGAATGATAGACGTATATAATAATAGAGTGATTGACAGAGATTGAGAATGAAGGGGTGAAAAGATAGACAGATAGATATGATTGTTGAATGTAGAGAACAACAGATTTAAGGCTGCACAATATTTCGTTTTAGCATCGATATCACAATGGGCGAATCTGCAATAGCCAAATCGCAGGATGCCAAGCAATTTCAAAATAATTTAAATCATTTAGACAAGAAATTATAAAGTTTGCTACCTTAACTAAGATTAATTAGATAGTAAGACTATAGTTCTCCATTTCACATTTGATTATTGCATTTCTGAACGCAATACTATTAAGACTCCTCCGAAAACCATAAAGCAGTGTTTATTTCAATTTTATCTTTGTTCTACTGTTTTCAGCTATGGTTTAATTTATTTTATGTATATACAATTTTCAAATATTCACATATACAGATGTACTAATGTTAAAAAAAAAAAAAATCATTATTTATTATAATAAATAATGTAAAATGATGAATTCCTTACAAATATAATGTAATGTAATCATGTTCTAACCATTTAATGTGAATCAGTGATTTAATATTGCAAATTATGTCTTTAATGAGACATTATTTTCAAGTAGACAGCAGTCACTCTTCATTTATTTTTTGTTTATTTGATTGTGTCGAATTATTCATATGTATGTTTGGGGTGGGTTTGAATTGCTTTGTTGTGTTGTAAAATACATCAAAAAAAAAAAAAAAAAAAAATGACACTTCATATGCAAAGAGGGCAAATTGAATAATATTGGAAGGCAATTTAAACTGGATTAGTCCTGTCTGATTTATTTTTGTCTTTAGATCTATAAAGGGTTACTGCACTACTAGTATATCCTATGTAGCACTGATTTTATAAATATGTATTTTTATTTCTACTTCTAAATTTATAAGTTGGCACCCCTACCGAGTCAGACCACTACATAAACAATTCCTTACAAAAATCAATCGCAATATATAAAAATAGCAGAAACAAAATACTGTAATGTCAGTTTTTTCCAATATCATCGAAAACTATATAATACACAAGATGTCACTTGTATAGTTTTGAATGGGGAAAAGTGTAACGGTCAATATGGCGAATGAAGCCACGCCTTCTAGTACATGAGCCAATCATGGATTGTTATAGACTGACGATACTCCAGGGGAGGGGCCAAACGTGAGTTTCTGCAGATTTTGTGTGATTCGAACGTTTAGTAATGAAACTAAAGGGTCAATTGTTTTGTTCTATTGGTGATTAACATATGAAATTTATTCTTATGCTTGGCAAGAAATTTTGGAGAATTTAAGATTTCCTGTTCAAACAGAATGCCCAAGCCTGAGAGGCATTTCAAAGATGGCCGCAGAGTGAAATGACTTGCCTCAAAATGACTTTGATATCTGGCAGCCCTAGATAAAATGCACGAATATTAGAACGACAGATAAAGAGATGGTTGATAGAAGAACACCAGGCTAAAATATAGAAAGTTAGAATCACAGACAGAGAAAGAGACAGCTATATAGAATAGAGAGAACAATGGATAAATGACACAGAATGGATAGAAGCGATGGATGGATGCAAGACAGAACAGATAAATGAATAGATGAAAGAATAGAAGGATAGATAAATGAATGACAGAACAGAAATGAATGAATGACAGAATGGATAGAACAAATGCATGGATGCTAGAATGACAGATACAAAGATAATTAAGCTTAAAATAAAATCAAAATGAGAAAGTTGCAACATCATTTCTTGTTACTGTGACTTAATATCTTTTTTTAGAGAGAGATTTTAAGTTATGCTCTTAGATTTAATGTACATTTGCTAGATACAAACCCTCAAGGAAAGAGTTAAAAACCATCAAGAAAGTATTGGCTGCAAGTTTGGGGGACAATATTATCACATTTGTTTTTAATGAGAGGACGATCTTTCAACGTATACACCATTTATCCATGATGAATGGTACAACAACAAAGCAGTAACCTATAACACAGCCCCATTATGAATACTAATTGATCATAAAGCGAGACATAATTCATCATTAGGACTTGGTGTATATGCCTGACCAGCGTTGTAGAAGACCACTTACAAAGACAATGGACTTTGTATTGATCTGTGTCTTTAGAAAAGCTCTTTAAAGTTCTTTAAGCGAGTGTGCTGAATTAAGATGTCATGTAGACCAAATAAGATGAAAAAGATGGATGAAAAAAAGAAAGAAAGAACAGAGCTTTCGTGACTGGAGTCCTCATTGAGTGCAGAAGCGTCGTCCCATGACTGATGTGACCTCTCCCTTCCTATACTCCCTACAACGGCTGCTTCCTGCACTACATCTATATTTCATACATGTGCGCTTACGCACTCACCACCACCGCAGATACACGGGTTCGCGCGCCCTTCTCAATGCTCACTGGTGCTTAGCTCAAGTCTGTGTGGAAATCGTTAAATGACGCTGATAAATCATTTGTCTGAGGCATCAATACCCTTATTCAGTACAAGTCTGTGAAACCTTGAGTACTGCGACCTAGCGAAAGGGCTTTTAGCTTCATCACACATACGGCGGTATCAAGACATCATGTCATATGTGCAGTTACCACACTGTGGTGATATGGAAAACAGATGTGAGCTTTGGACATAAATCTGTTTGCTATGACGTGGTATATAAAAAAAAATACTGAAAACATCAGTTACCCTCAAATCTTCATGGAGAAGCTGCTTTGGGATTGTTGTGTTAGGTTCAGCAAACAAAAACAGGCTTGCGTGCGCACAGGAATGATCACCAAATGAGGGTAGAAGTTGGCTTTGGGGAGTAAATAGGTTTAGTGGCCAATTGGCTAGTGAACGGTTGCATGGTTTAAATGTCAAGAATTGAAAACTGATCCTGACAGCATTTTAATTTGATGCAAGTTATGCGAGCAAATTGAAAATGAAAACAGACACGCTTAAGGGAAAGACAAGGAGTTTACATTTAATATTTACTATTTGAATATTTAGTTTTTTTTTTTTTTTCTCTATGGCCTATCAATGTCTGTGGCTATTTTCATGACAAGATTAATGCATAAAAAAATAAAAAAATAAAAAAAAAGACAACTTCCAACCAAATAAAATAAATAATAAAAAGTTTAAGAACAGAGTAAAAAGACTGCCTCATGACTATATCAAAATAGCATATTATATGATTTATGGTACAACAGCATTTCATTCACCAAGTAAATTTTCCTTATTTAAATCGCAGCCAAATTTGTATAGGTAAAGAATTATTATTATTATTATTATTATTATTAATGTGTTCAGATTTTAATGAAAAAGTAATCTTACTTTTTCATTTTAATAAAAAGAAAAAAAAAAACAAAAGGGCCAATAATATGAAGCACACTGGCCAAATAAATATGAAAAACAATACACAAAATAACTGCTGGGTGGGTACAGGATTATATAAAAGCATTTTTATCATAGTTTTTACACTTTTTTTTTTTTTTTTGAAGTAAAAATTACTAAAGATTGAGTGCACGTGTACACACAAAAAATGCATACACTTAGAAAGGATATTTAATGCAAGAAAAAATGTCAACATTACAAAAATAAAGTAAAAACAGTATAGAGATTTAGGCCCAAACCCTATTCTATTTTTGTGCCCCTACCCCTTGGCCCTTAATGCATAGTGTGAAGAGGAAGGGCTTTAAAACTTACCCCTAAGAAATAGGACACCACTACAACACCAGCAGATGTCATTTTATGTCATCGCCGTCTGTTAATTCATGAGTTCAAAGACTGCAACTGCTGTAGTTATTCCAGTTGCGTTATTTTTTTTTGGTATTTGGTATTTATATTCAGGAAATCACCGAAGGAATACATCATGTTATCATAACCATATAATGTGGCAAAAAGATTGTAACTGTACTGTGCATTTACATTTATATTCATGATTCGTAAATTTATGTAAACAGACAAAACAACATTAACATTATAGCAGACACTGTAAAAAGGTTTTTCCCAGCCACTAGACTTTTCTGACAGGGTATTCGAGTGTCATCGAGTGACAGAAGTGAAAGTATGTTGTGGGATCACTATACTGGAGTTACTAGGAATTAGATGGTGAAATTGCCAATTTTAAATTTTTTTACAGCATGACATTAAAACACAAACGCGGTTATGAATGTATTAAAACATGCTTGTTTGTTGTAAAAAATTTAAAAAATGACAAATAAAAAAAAAACTAATTTGTGCATCTCCTGACTTCCGTGTGCAACCATACTGCCATTGTAGCTGGTTTATTCTGGGAAATTTTCGTACCCCTTGGCTTCAAGTGTGGTCCTGAAAAAAATCTGTTTAAGGGACAATCTAGCCCTTCCCCTTAGCTCTAAGCCTTCAAGCTAAAGATAATTGGGACACCCCTACACCTTTGCGCGAATGCGCAAAACTGTAAGGGGAAGGGGTAAGAGGAAGAATTGGGATTGGGCTTTAAAGTGTCAAATAGTATTTTGGAGGCTCCATTGGGATCCTTAAATAGGAGTCTTATCATCAAATTATGGTTTTAGACATGCAAATTTCTGGTATACAGTGATTTCTCGCTATAAAGCAGTTTACTTTTTGCAGCTTCGTAAATTTTTGGTGTAATTTGACATGCTATTTTTTGACATGATTGGCTGTAGAACGTTGTCGATCAATCTCCTCCATGCTGTCTCCTGTACAGTACAGAATGCTTTCAGCTCGCAAAATTTACATAAATCTTTGATCACTAGCAGTGTGACTGAGGTGCTGTACTGTATGTTTGCAAGTTTTTTCTCCACAATGTCGATGAAATGTTCTGCTCCATCAAAGGCACCTGCGGTAGCACCCAAAAAGGCGGAGGGAGATGCCAACTAAATCGCACAAAAGGTTGAACTTCTAGACATGCTAAAAGAAAGGTAGAAGTTACGCGGCTGTAGGGTGTCATTACAGAATAAATAAATGAAGATCAAATGGTTTTGATCCTTGGTTTTATTCTATATAACTGGACTTATTTTTCTACGAAGATTTAAAATTTGATAGTGTTTTAAACAAGAAAAGTGTGAAAATGTTAATGCCTGTCTGAAAAGTGTATAGAGAGAGTAGTGAGGGTTTTTACAGCCTTAAAACATCAAACATATTAATTGTAAAAAAAAAAAAAAAAGAAAAAAAAAAGAAAAGCTGACTACTTTGCGGATTTTGCCTATTGTGGGTTTTTCTTAGAACGTAACTACCATAAATAATGAGGGTCCACTTTGTTACACTAAATTTTTGTGAGTGTCTTGCATAAATCGCTGTAATAATGTAAATAAATTATCATATTTAATTAGACCATTAGTAGATGCCAAATTTACAGTAAAAAAAAAATACAGGTGAACACTTAAACTGATACTCACACTGTACATTGATGATGTAGGGGATCCTGAAGTCACTCTGCAGAGCAGGGTGTTTCACCACACATGTTAGAGTGTGTCCCTGTGCGTGACGGGACGGCTGCCAGATGTAGTGCACCTGTGTTGTAGTGGTGCCGTTGGCGTCCTCCTGCATGTGGGCCTCAGACATCCCATACAGATTGGTCTCCCAGGACACGTCAGCAGGGGGTCGAGCCCTCTCAGCAATGCAGGTGGCCACTGTGGTCTCATTGCCACCGTCAATCAGTGCAGAAGATCCAGCAGAGACATACACCTTTGGCTCCACTGAAACGGACAGGCGGAGACAGAGTCTGTGTTAATGTGAGAACACTGTTTTCTCATGCACTTTTGGACTTTTAATGGCATTTCCTTCAGTCAAAAAACATTCAAAAATATACTTTCTTTTGATTCCCTTTAATAAATGTGTGTCAGCAAATTTTAATAATACTGCATATTTTCAAAGGGCAAAATGAGATATTTTACTGTATTGAGACACAAATCTCCACTTCAGCAGCACTTAAACCACACCTCAGTTTAATAAACCTTCATTCTTAAAGTTTTTACAGAGGCATACGTGATATGCCATACATAATACACCTAATCATTCAAAACATTTTATTCTACAAAACTATGAAAATGTATATTTTGTTATGGCTGTTTGTAACATTGTCAAATTAGCACATATTACATTGTTCTGTTTACCCATGCCGAATATCCGTACCAAACAAATCTCGATCTGTTTGGTTTCATATTCCATCCCTTTAAAGCTGTGGCTCATTTGCCTATTTAAAAATAACGTTTTAGAAGATCTGTAATACATAAAAATGCTTGTAATTCTTAATGTAATCAACCAACTGAGGATGAATAGTGATACATTAGTTCATTTACCCAGTTCTCCTCCAGTGTTTTACGCAAGTGTACACCACTTGTGCTTAATGTGAGAAGACACGTTAATTATTAGAAAGTTGCATTAAGATAACAAACAGAGTTAAAGGAAATCTATTCTGAATGGGGAACTAAGCTAAATAAAAGCTAATTCCCTCAGCATTAAGAATCTCTCTGGAAGCACAGCCAATAAATTCATAAACAGATAAGAATGACTGAGAAAATAATTAGATTTTCTCAGAGAAGTAAAAGACTTATCAGAATGAAAAAAATTGTGACTACCGGCCTTGGTTTCTCATCAGAAAGCACTAAGTGCTTTTCCAGAGAAGATGAAATTATTTGTTTTAATGGCTTATCCAGTTTACATGGCAGAAGGGGCGGGGTTTGGGCGTGTGCGAGCTGTTATGAATTCAGCAGTGTTCAGGCCTGGAAAACTGTGGTTTGCCTCTGCAGCGACTGACAGGAAGTTAATATGTGTGGGGCCATTTCCCTTTCTGCTCCTCCACTTAGTTCTATCAATGATGGGACTTAAGAAGAGCCATACTAGCACTGCCATACAGTAGATTGAAAACAACAGCCGGTATGCTGAAAATCCAGCTTTGTACTGTATCTCAGAGTCACCTGATATTTCAAAAAGAATTCTAATATGTCGATTTGGTACTCAAGAAACATCTGGCATTATCAATGTTGAAAGCAACGCTGATTAACACTTGTGGAAATGATGATACATTTTATTAGTTTTAATTAAAAAAAAACTGCTCCTTGCAAAATTTGACATGTTTTGTTACGTTATAAGTCATTTTAACATAATTAATGATTGCTTGCTGAATAAAAGCAATAATTTCCAACAAAACACATACTCTTCCCCCAGTTAAGTCATTTTATGTTGATTTGCTTGTTTTGAAATGTTCAAGAAACTTAAGTTTCCAAAGCATTATTTATAACATGCATTGCATTAGAAGTTATCAATATACATCACTTTATGATGAATATTAATTATCAGAAGTCAAGGAACATGTAGCAAATGTCAGCATTCTGTGACTACCATTGGTTTCTCCATCTCTCTGTCTCTACCACGAGTTTCTTTCTCTCCCCATCTTGTGAAGTATTAACATTGGCAGCTGACCTTCAGAGACAACAGTAGCAGCTGTGGCTGTCGTACCTTCAATGATCCGCTGGTGTGTTGAATGACATGTCTTAAGCGTCTGTGTGTGTGTTTGCTTTATGCCTGTGTGTGACAACTCGTGTGTCACTTTAAACTATAAATTCAACAGGACCTAGCAACGACATCCTTGACCCTACAGTGCAGAGGATCCCAAAAGCAGAGGGTATGTTTCTCACACTCACTCTTACACACGCACACACACCATTCCTCCTGATCTAATTATAGCTCTGGCGCGTGTGTGTCCCCCCCTCACTACACCAGCACTTTCCATCCTCCTGCATCCCGTCCCCCTCCATTGCTCCTTTTATTAAAGCCCTCCAGTCCCTGTTCGTCTCTGCTCTCATTCACGTTCCTCCAATTGCACAGCTCATTTTAGCGATGACATCATCTTTTTCAATTCATCCTTTTCTATGCTTTCATGAACCTCGGCTCTACTTGTCTGTCTGCATGTCATTTATTATGGCTGAACAGCTTTTCCACCGGATGCGCGGCACACATCAAAACCAGATTAAATATTTTATGATTATACAGACAGGTATAATTTTATTTATTACATGTATCATAGCAGCAATATCATGTCATACAGAACAGCAGACATTTAATTTGATTGCAATATAGATATTTGTCTGTCAGACTATCTATCTATCCATCCATCCATCTATCTATCCATCTATCTATCCATCTATCTATCTATCATCTTAAATTTCAAAATTGAGTCATTCTGAACAGGAGCGGATTTAACCAATAAGCAAGGTAAGCGGCCGCTTATCCCAGGACATCTGAGGGCCCTCAATAAATATCTAGAAGTGTTAATTATACCTATAAACTACAACATTATTTGACTCACAATAGAAAATATGATAAAAAAAACATACATTTTTTTTTCTTTAATAAATATAATTTAATATGCAATAACATAATATTATTATGATAAATTGTTATGTTAGGCAATTATATTATTATAAAATAAAATATCCACCACCCTCAATCATGGAGCAGTCCAGAAGTCAAATATATATAAAACAAGATGCATTTATTATTTTTAGATGTAAATTCATTTTACGAAAACTAGTCATTTAAAAATGTAGAGCTTGCAATATTGAAAATATTTAAAAATAATTAAATAAAAGTAGAAAAAGCGCATTTCAGGACTTGGGCTGCATGGCTGGAGTTGCTTAAGGCCCCAAAAATCACTAAATCTGCCCATGATTCTGAAATAACGGATAAGAGCATAATTTGATATGGATGGGATTTTACTTTCACTTCACTGCCGTAATTTGTTCTTGTACCAGCTGATCCTGATCATCATTGGGGCGAATCTAGAGGTGGGGCCACAGGGGCACTGGCCCCCATTTAAATGCGTTTGGCCCCTGTTGTGGCCCTCTCCTTGCTGATTTATATCAAATCTTGGATACAAAGATAAGCTTTAATACATGTCGAACGCCGGGGTTACTTAAGCTGTTTTTCTTGTATGAGGAGTGCTTCATGCCTGCAGATCGACTGGCTTGTTCCGAAACAGGGACTAAAACTGTTAAAATGTTGCTAACCGTATGGTTCACTTACATAACAGGCCAAAACTGATGGTCATATGAAACTAAACATGTTATTCTTTGATCTTAGTTAAAAGGTTCAATTTTTGCGATTCCGCTCAGAGGCCACATATGCGCTGTTAAATGACCATTTAGAGAAGTAATGCTAACGGTAAAGGTGTGCTCCATGGCAAAATCAATAGTAAAGACAAAGTAAAGACTGCTTCTGTGCTGTCATTTACGGTGCAACAGACACCTTCTGTTTAGAATTACTGTGCTTTATCACTATAAGAAGGTTACAGAACAATTGAGGGCAAATCTGTCAAAATGACAAAGCTTATTTAGCAAACGTGACCTGATATCTGATATCTTTGACAAACATTCAGTCGAAAAAAAATAGACTTTTTTTAAATAGCTGCATCATGCATGACATTTACCACAAATGATCAGGTCATACTTGAACGTTCTTTACAGTCAGAGATGAAGCCAGAATACAGAGTTAAAGTTATTTTAGTTTAGTGCACACTGTCCAGTTGATGCAAATTGCAAAAACTTTATTAAAGAACAAAGTGAACTGATGATTTTATTAAAGGGACAGTTCACCCAAAGTTAAACAAAAAAAAAAAAAATACTTAAATTTACTCATGTTCTTTTGTGTACAACAGAAGAAAGAAACTGATTTTGAAGAATGCTGAAAACCTGTGACCATTGACTTAGGAAAAAAAAAATCTGAAGTCAGTGGTTACTTTTAAAGAAACTGTGCATACAGAACTAACAAAACCTGACAGATTTCTATAGGGACACCACTGTTTGTACTTCTCTTTTTTTTGTATTGTGCATAGGCAGTAAAAGCAATGTACCAAAATGCATCAGCTATAATGGTTTACTTTTGTAAACCTTGCTTGGGTGCTTAGAATAAAGCTAAACTCAGGAAACAGCTTCTTTTAGTTAAATATTTTCTTCATCTAATAAATGCTAGGGGGAAAAAAATTAGTTTGTCGTGAGAATCAGTTTCTTAAAAAAAAATAATGATAATGATAAAACCCACAATCTTGATCAAAGACACATGCAACTTCTACTGTAAGCCTAATAGTATCTTGCAGAGTAAGATATAGATGAATATGTTGTTTCTGACTGATAATATGGGCAGTGTTAACTAACCCCATGTTACAACACTCTGTAGTCTCCCATATTTGTTGATGCAATTATTTTCTCACAGAAATGTTGCATGTAAAATTATGATTTTCTAATATTTCTGCTACTTGCAAATGTAAAATTAACCCCTGAAAATATGTAATAGGCTAATATATAGTAATATATACTGTACTTTAATAGGACATAAACAGTTATATGTTCCAGAAATATAATGCACCAATTGAATAACTTGCCCCCCTCTGTAAACTGTGCCTCTGTGCTTGTAAACTTCCTTTTGTTGTCTTTTGTGCACTCAGATTACTAAAGCTCTTCAATTTAGTTCAGTTGTATCTGTGTTTAGCAGAGCAGATCTGCGGCTCTGGGGGTTTGGTGGAAAAAGAGACTTTAAACATCACCATGTTCTCTGAAAGAGCTGGAGAGTCTCCCAAAACACTGCTTTTCATTCCTGCCCTGAAGTTGCTCTTAATGTTTTTCCACCCTTTCGCGCACACACTGCATACTTGCCCACTTACACAAATAAGCAGCACTTTATTCGGCAGCTGTGATGAGCATCCACTCGCACGCCTTTCTTTGTTCGTCAGCCGCACACATGAGAAAGTTTGGTCACGGCACTTTAGCATTCATACACATGCACCACGCTATGAGTGCATAATCCAATTAAATCAGAAAGCAAAAACATACACCGTTTTTGGAATCTGATTACTTAATCTAAATGACATGTAATCAGCTACTAACCAGCACTGAGTACATGTAATTAGATAATACTGTTTTAAGATGCTCATAATGAATAAATAACATTTCAGGTTCAAATGATTCACACAACATGAACATTTGTATTTTCCTTTAAGTATTTTCTAATATGTGTAGTGTTAAAGGGAAAGTTCACCCAACACTTAATTGTCATCTTTTACTCCGCCTTCACTTGTTTAAAAAAATAATAAAATAAAATAAAAAAAATAAAAATTCTTCTCTTGAATCCAAAAGATGACATTTTGAAAATGTCTGGTAGCTGGCACCCAGTGTATTTCCCTACTAAAAAGTTGTTAAGTCCCAGAACCAGCATTTTTCAAATTATACAGTGCATCTGGAAAGTATTCATAGCGCTTAAATTTTTCCACATTTTTGTTACAGCTTTTTTCCAAAATAGATTAAATTTATTTATTTCCTCAAAATTCTAAACAAAATACCCCAAAATGACAAAGTGAAAAATGAAATTGTTGCACATTTATAAATAAAAAAAACATACAAAAAAAAAAAAAGTCACATGTACACACAAGTATTCACAGCCTTTGCCGTGAAGCTCTCAATCGAGCTCAGGTACATTCTGTTTCCACGGATCATTCCTGAGATGTTTCAAGAAACCTAATTGGAGTTCACCTGTGGTCAATTCATTTGATTGGACATGATTTGAAAAGCCATACACCTGTCTATACAAGGACTCAGGGTTGACAGTGCATGTCAGAACCTGCTTCAAAGTGCTTTTGACCTCAGACTAGGGTGACGATTCATCTTTCAGCAAGACAATGACCCAAAGCACACCGCCAAAATATCAATGGAGTGGCTTCACAACAACTCGGTGAATGTCATTTAGTGGCCCAGCCAAAGCTCAGACCTAAATCCTACTGAACATCTCTGTAGAGATCTGAAAATGGCTGTACACCATCGCGTCCCATTCAACCTGAAAGAGCACAGGTGTCAAACTCAGTTCCAAAAGGGCTGAAGCTCTGCACAGTTTTAGTTCCAACCCTAATTAAACACACCTGATCAAACTAATTGAGTCCTTCAGGCTTGTTTGAAATCTACAGGTAAGTGTGTTGGAGCAGGGTTGGAACTAAACTGTGCAGGGCTTCGGCCCTCCAGGAATTGAGTTTGACACCCGTGATAGAGCTAGAGAGGTACTGCAAAGAGGAATGGGCAAAATTTCCCAAAGACAGGTGTACCACGTTTGTGGCATCATATTCAAAAATACTTGAGGCTGTAATTGCTGCTAAAGGTGCTTCAAAGTCTTGACCAAAGGCTGTGAAAACTTTGTCATTCTGGGGTATTGTGTGTAGAATTGATGAAATAAATTAATCCATTTTGGAAAAAGGCTGTAACAAAAAAAAAAAAAAAGTGGAAAACGTTGAAGTGCTATGAATACTGTCCGGATGCACTGTATCTCACATGTTGTGTTCAACGCAAGAAAGAAACACATCGATTTAAAACCATACGAGGAGAACAAAATGATACTTCCATTTTTGGGAGAAAAATCCCTTTAATCAACTGTAATTTAAAATATCATAATAAAAACTGCCATTAGGTATGAAGCCCGATTAATCTCAAAAATAGCACATTTACAAAATATAATTCATACATCCACAGCACCCTTTACATTTACAAAACACAATTCGTAAATTCAAAACATCATAAAAAAAACTAAAATTAAATTTGTTAGTTCAAAACACGATTCAAAAACAAACTCCATTCGTCACATATTTCTTTTTTATACTTAATATATTATATACTTTTTTATAAAGATGCTTTAATTATAAATATAAGAAAAAAAATCACGCATTTAATTTAGTTATGGTAGCACACTAGGATACTTTACTGTGTGCAAGTACAAGTTAGTCTCAGCCACTACTGGAGACTTTGCTTGGCCCAGGAAAAGCACTGATTTATGACCTGATAAACTGAATGGTGCTTACAATAGTGTGACTGGAGTTGGGATGTTCATTAACAGTATCAGGTATTTCACATGACTTCACTTGAATTTTTTCATGGCCTTTATCAATCCAGCATCCACACACACACACACAGTCTCTTGTTACCTAGTACGCTGACAGTGGTGGAGGCCTGTGTGTTACCCAGCGGAAAGGTGGCAACCTTGCAGGTGTACACGCCGATGTCAGCAAAACCCACATCTTCCAGCATGATGGTGGCGTCGAGTGCAGAGGGCGAGCGGAAGGACAGGCGTCGCTCATAATCGGGAGGGATGGAGATACCAAACATGGGGTTGTACACGGCCAGGGTCACCCATCCATTGGGCAGCTTCCTCTCCCAGGAGCTCTGTGTCAGGCTGAGGTTTGTGTCCACTTGTACCCTGCAGCTGAGGGTGACATTCTTACCCAAAACAGCATTCACTTTAGGGGGGACGATCACCTGACTGCCATATACCAACCCTAGGGCACAGAAAGGGAGAAAAGGTTAGTCGCGTCAACATTTGAGCAGCAGCGGAAAACAAAGCACTTGAACAACATCTCTACTGACAAATCGGTTTTTATCCTGTTGGAGCACCGATCAATCAGACGCCAAGGTCTGTTAGCAGAGCTCTGAGTTTCCAATGAAAAAAGTCAATTCCCTGTGGTTAGACGTCTGAGGACACGGACACCACACTGGTTAGTTAGTGTAATTTGTTGTGTTGTAAAAGGAGCTAATGAAATCAGCTTTATTGTGCTGGTGGTAGGATATGTGTCCTAATGTTTGACGCTTCAAAACAGATTTCTAAAATAAGTGTAAAAATGGGTCAGAAACAATTAAGCGAGTGCACACTAAAAAGGAAAACAACAACTAAAGTCTAACTGAAAAATCAAACGTTTTTTTAAACACCCATTAGTATGTAGTATAATACATGCACTGTGTTTGGTTTGTTTGTAACTGTATAAACGGTCCAATAATATTCTTCTAAACTAACTGGTCAATGTTTTGTCTGAAATTATATTTACTTTGTATAAATGATGTGTTTTGTATTTAAATGTACAAATACACATTGTACAAAACCTCAAAATATATTTGGAAGCATTTGTAACACACATCAAGCCTCCCGTTTTTCCTGGGATAGTCCTGTATTTTACAGTTTTATACCACTACTATCCCTATAGTATAAAATACTTTAGAATACTTTAAAGGTATTTTCTAGCATCAATCTTTCTATGAAGGGTGGCAAAAAACATTACTGAGCCGATTCTCCCTATACACAACCAATACAGACAAACCACCAGGGGATGCCCCCTTTCTTTTAAATGAAAGTTTGTTCCGTGCTTAAGTTTTATTTAGGCATGAAAACTCTTTGAAATATATAGAAAAACGGTGCAATTCCCCTTTTATTACAGGTGCCATGGCCTCTTCTATGCAATATTCATAACAGTCATATAGCGGTGCTTGACTGTCAGCTGACGCGCTCCATAGTCATAAATAGACGCCGTTTCCCAAACGGATTCTGTACAAGTTTGAAGCAGAGCGAAAGTCTGGGTTTTGGTTGCGTGTTTGAACAGATACACAATTAACGACAACAACAACAACAACAACAACAACAACATCTAAAGATGTCTATCTTAGTGGGTTTTCAAAACACAACTAATTTTGTCCTAAATGAGCATAAAAAGTTAAGAAAGCAATCCAATGCTTTCATTATAACATTAGATGTGTGCATTTTTAAAGTGATATCACTGTTAATGTAATCAAATAAAAAAACTAAAAATTTAACAGACTTAATTAATTTTTTGTCGGCTTAGTCCCTTTTTTAATCCGGGGTCGCCACAGCGGGATGAACCGCCAACTTATCCAGCACGTTTTTACGCAGCTGGTGCCATTCCAGCTGCAACCTATCTCTGGGAAAATGACAGACTCATTGCGTTTTAATCAGAATGTGTAAGTTATACAGTAAAGAAAAGATTAACGAGATTTGATAACTTGATTCCATTTCTTTATAACAGCTATTAATTAAGCTAATAAATTAAGCTGTTTGCTAATTTATTTGCTTCTAATGTATACTTTTTTTTGTAAATAATAATAAAACATATTACTGACTGTTTAACTGTTTAATTAGCAATAAAACAGCTTCAGATATTTAGTCATTTAGGGATTTTGTTTTTTTGGGGGGTGGGGTGTTATGTCATATCCCTTATTTTCACACCCCAATGTTGACAGGTATGATTTGTGCAAGAACATAATAAAGACATTCGGATTTAGGAGACATTCACAAAGAATCCGTCTTTGCACATAAAAAAAAAAAAAAAAAAAACCTGCAGCGCTTAGGATTGGTTTAAAACAGTTGACGTGAACTTGCTGCAGTAAACAAAGCCCGCAATGCTTGCTCCGCCTTCAACCTCTTCTTATTGGCTCACTGCTCTAAAACAGAACACCATGGGATTAGTTAACACCAGCTGTCAATCCCTCAGTTCAGATGAAAGAGAGCTACAGCCACGAAAATGTTAAGGTCTGCAAATGAGAGAATGAAAATGAGGGATTTTGTTTTAGAACCTGCCTAAAGTTACAAATAACGGCACATCTTTAAGGTGATCACCATTTTGACTTTTCGAAGAGTGGATAAAAGACTTCCAATGGCTTTAAGTATGCTATGAAATTGACTAAAGCCATTCACCGTAAAGCTGGTGAAACGTTTTCAACTAACAGTGTTTGCCACTGAAAATACACATTTCAAGCATGAGATGTTAACGTTATTTAATTCTTCATTTAATCGTCACAATGTTGTCAGTCGTGCAACTGGCAGTGTGTTCACCATCGCAAAAAAGCATGAATTCACTGAGATTAAACTAATATTGCAGCTCATAAAAAAGCGTTATTGCTATTGAAATGACGTATGCAAATAATTTTATAGCCTATGTCAACATCATCTGTTCAATATCAGACACCACCTGTGAGAACATAGCAGTTATTATCGTCAACTCGGTTCATCTCAAATCAAGCAGTGCATGCAGGGCCGATGAGCACATGCAGATTGTGTTAGTTTTGATTAGTGTTGATTTTAATGCAATAAATCTGTTGATAAAAACTTGTAGTAATGGTGCGCATGTATGTATGCATGTATGCTTTCAGTGTATGCTATTTTATCCCTACTGTATAAATGTTAAATTTACTGCAAAATTATCTACAAATTTGTAAAGCGTCTTTTCTCTCTCATTCATTTTTAATTCAGAGAAAAAATTCACACAAACCAAAAATTATTTTTAAAATGGACCTGGAACAATACAAGGCAGACTAGAGAAAAATGAAGTTAAATTCAGTCTCTGAACAATAGCAGAGCAGCAGTGAACGTGCCGGTCTGCGCAGACATTAAACCCAAAGGGCTTTAAAATAGGAACAACATGGGCATTTACCACAAAAACGGACTGTTCTCTTCCCTGCCTCCTTCTCCTCCTTTCCGCTTGCCTACCTTCCATCGCTCAAGACAGTCATCATTTTTTCCTCTTTCCATTTGCCGAACAAAAGCTTAATTATGTTTGAAAGAGGGTGTGCGTGTGTGTGAAATGTGCGTGCGCAGACGAGACGAGACAGAAGGAGAGACGAGTGCTAAAAGACACCAAAAGAAACAAAGGCCACTCGAGGACAACCTGTGTGTCTTATTACACCCAGACAGCTGTGCCCGCACCATCTGAATCCACATATCCACACACGCAAACACGCAGCAATGGAGAATCAGTGTGTGCTGTGGGGAGATGCTGGAATTAAGATCATCTGGTGGGATCTTCTCTGGATTCCCACATCAACAGCACATTGATCATCTGCAGGACTGTGCAGTTGCTACAGTACCAAACATTTACCACAGCTCAATGTCGTTTTGCAAATTTTGGTAAAATGTGATGTCATTCTGCCAAGTTGAGAAAGTCAACATGAGAAATTTATTGACTTTCTAAGAGATAGTTCACACACAAATCAGTCCGTTTATCATACAGGATTGAATCAGCATGAGAGGAGTGAATGATTGGTTTTCTTTAGTAAAACTCAAAAGTAAATATTTTAAAATAACCTTTTGTTCAATTGAGTCAAAAAAATTTATTGAATGGACAAAAACAGGTGTATTTATCAAAATATCTTTCGTGTAATACAGATTTAAGTAATACAAACGAAACAAGTTATTTGTTTTTACTTTGGGGTCAAACACCACTTTAGTGTAATTTATAAAATTTGACTTTTTTTTTCATTAATTAAATGACTACCATTTCCAAAAATACCACCAGAGGGAAGGGATTTTTATTTTATTTTTTACTTTTTGCAATATAAATCAAAATCAAATCTAAAAATAACTAAGTGAACTAAATAAAACAAATCAATTAAAATAAAAAGCATAACAGGAAACGTGTTAATGTTAATGTAAATGAATCTATAACTCTATAACTAAAAACTATAAGAAACCCGAAAAACTAAAATTAAACTCGTAAAGTAAAAACTAATAAATATATATTTAACAAAAAAAAATAAAATAAAACAAAAGTAAATAGCTTTCAAAAGAAACAAATGGACAATGTGGTCAATCAACTTGTTTTCTGATACTGATGCATTTACAAACAACCTCAGTTTCTTTTTTTTTGCAGTCCAATAAATGTCATGACAAAATTATTTAGTTTTAATAGTAAGGCTGCACGATTAAAATAGAAAAAAAAGATTGCGATCTCGGTTCGGCCCTACACATGATCAGGGCCAGAGCTAGCTGAACTGACACTCTAGGCACAAGTGTTCATACTGTTTTATATACATTGCTCAGCAACATGGAAGTCTCCAAATAGTGTTAAGAGTCACACTGTATTTATAGGGTATAATTCACACCACATGATTTCCGATACATTAATTCTTTCATGGCGGGGCGCCACGCCAAAATTCATCCCGCTACGGCTACATTACAGCTTCTCATTCAAAACATTTTATTTTTTTAATAGCGGGTAATAATCGCACCAAAACATATTAAAGGGTAAGTAAGTTATAACAGCGCAAACTTTTCTGTAACTGTAGTAGTGCTGCGTGTCATTTGTTTAACCTTTTAAGGTTACGTACAGACTGACTAACAGTCTGACAGGTGTGTGATGCGAAGAAATCGGCGCACAAGCACAGAGATTTGCATGCTCCTAGGCTATTACATAAATGCGACCCGACATCTAATACAGAGCACACGGCATTTGTCACTGAAATAAAGCCAGAGGCAATTGGTAGATCGGTGTGTATTCGGCAGTTAAACTGAAACAGTTAAACTGAAAACAGAATCATACATGTCATTTAAATGATTATATTGCATTTTGAAGTTCGATTGCGACAAGCATTCGATTTTTTTCTTTCATAGCGAACAAAAGTTTTGTGCATGAGAATAAAATGTTTAACAATGTCAGTATCTGAGTAATCTCAGTTTACCAGTAAACAAATGATCTAAATGTTGTCAATGACAAGAACA